TCCGATACTTCCTGAGTTTCAATAGAGATTATTTCAGCAGTTTTGAACAAATTTCTGTGACCCCGAAAAAGTCAAACAAAATCACTTAAGCTGCTGGGCGTTGCACCAGAAAGAACGTTATTATTGTTCTGACAGCCGGATGAGGCCGGTGATCATAATGATATTCTGACAGATTGCGAGTAAACCATTCTCTCTGCACACCGAACACTCTCTCCGCGGCGTCTCTTCATTTATCCGCCGTTTTCCTATTGATTTTCATTTAAATAATGCTCCTCCGTGTGTTCCTCCACACTGCGGACCGAGAACATTAGCGGCAGCCATTGAAGTCATATTAAGAAATTCTCGCTGACAGCCCGCAACGAACTGATTTCGCTCGTTCGCTCCGTTTTTCATCCAGACGTGGCGCGTGCTGCGCCGCCGACCATTACTTTTCTTCCAATAGGCAACCGGCGTGACCTAATTGCTGAGCGGAAAGTCTAACTTTGAATTTCCCCAATGCTATTAAGTGAAGTAACCATGAAATTGGAGAGTGCAGCGCTCGCTCGTTAAAGTTCTGCTGAGCTTCAGAAAAGTATAAAAATTTTATGGTTTTCAACTGGCTTATATTCAAACTCCATTTGTGTTTTGTTTTAGGCTCGAAAAGTTATTTTTCCAACCGAAATAATTAATAGTAAATTGAAAAAGTTATAATAACAAATTTTATGACTTAAAAATGACTATTTGTACTCACAAAATATTAACATTACCGCGTAAAAGTTACTGATTATTCTTGAAAATAACCACTTCTCAAAAAAATTTAATATCAATGCCTTTTTTTAAATAATCTATGAATTAATTATTTTGCTAACTAAAGAGAAATAAAGAAATTTTTTTAAAAATCTAACATTCAAATTCTTAATTATAATATAATATATTTTCTTTTAAAATATTTTTACAGTTACTCCCATTTTATTGAAAAAATTAATTGTTTAAATTGAAATATTTTTATACATAATTAATTTCAAATTAAAACTCGAATTGATAAAAATAAAGCATATATATTAATGTTATGATCAATCTTTAATTAATTGGAATTAAGCTTCACAAGGAGTATTTGCCTGTCGGAAAATTTTGAATTGCATTATCTCTTTTTCATTACTTAATTGAACATATTATTACAAATGGAATTTCATGTTTGCTTTAATTAAAGCCGCATGTCAATTCAGGGCCGGAATTATCCGCAGCAAAAGAGCGCATTTACATCAGTGTTGGTTCTGCAGTATAATAAAAGTAATTAAATTACAAAACACTTTCGCGACAGCAGCATGCAGTAAACGTTAGAAACGTCCGTCTATTTTATGTGTGTGCTCTCGTAAGAGAGTCTGCACTGCACACAAGAACTCCCGCGTCAGCCGTCAAAAGCCGAAAGCTCTGTGCTTCTGATTAATGGCGCAATAATTTTGAGACTCGGTGAATTGAGTTTTTTGGCTTTGTACGTGCGCATGCATGTGCTCCTGATACTCTCTCGTCGCTCACACCGAATTCCGAGGCAAATTCTTCACCGAGGAGAATTTACTGAAGCTGGCGGTGACCCACTTTCGTGTTATTATTGCATAGCTAAGCTGTGCACCACCTTTTTGCAAGAGAAATACGTATTTTCCTTGGTAATTTGCAGACGTTATCCTACTATCAAGATGCACCGTTTATTTAGCTCTCCGCAGCAGCCATCAGAGCAATTAAATCGAAAAGAAACAAGAATGATGGTTTTTTACTGTAAGGAAAATTAGGTTGTGCTTTTCAAAAATATATTAAATTGCTTACCATTATTTTCTAGCGGTTTTATACGGTTCCTTTATCATTAAAAACTTGTTAAAAACTCTTGATTTAGTTTTATAATTATAGCAATAATTACAGAACTTATCAAATTGTTTTTTTTTTTTAAATTTTCAAAACATTTGGCCTACACTTGACTTAATCTTTGATTTTCTAAGAAATATTTTTTAATTTAATTGTTTTTTTAGATTTAATATACGGAAATTAGTTTTTTTTATCCAGATCAAAATAATTCATACAATAAACATTTATTTTAATTATTATTAGTTAAACAAATAAAAGGAATTAATTTTTCAACAGCACAACTTGTTATTTAATTAATGCCAAAAACGTTTTTTATTTGTTCATTTGTAAAAAAACATCCATAAGTGCCTCAAATATTTATTCATTAAAACCAGACTAAAAAATCCTCAGCTCTGTGACTTCTTTTGTGTAACTTTTGAAATCCGTCCGTTCATATTGTTGCAAAATATAATTAAATTAATCCTGCACAGAGAGAACAACAAAGGGACACGTTTTTAATCTTTTCAATACAAAGCTGCATTGAATTCGCTCTCGTCGACGTTCGACGGCATTATTTGTGACAAAAGGCTGCTGTGACGGATAATAATAAATTGGAAGCGTGGACAAAATTGTGAGTTGACGTCCATATTTGTTTTGCGCTGGAAAAGTTGGCTGGTCCAGAAGGGGCGCAAATGAGCGTCGCGCGCTATCGGCGGATGATGAATGTGACGTCACGACTTTCCAAACACAATGAGGCCAGCAATGCAAATGAAGCGGGAAAATAAAAGATAGCGCGGCATCGCTTATCACGGGGCTAAATGTTAGCCGGGCTGTCTGTTGACTTGGCACCGCCAGACCGGGGCATGCGGCAAACTATAAAACCCCTTCACTCCCCCCGCCAAAACACCTAATGAACACGCTGCCAACATATGATGATGATGAAAGATTTCCGCCTTCCGTCATACAACATATTATATCGAACTGAGCTGCGGTTTATAAATATTTCGCTGTTCTGCATTGAAAGTTGGCTTAAATTTGAATAATTCAACGCTGTAATATCAGTTAACATGATGAGTGTTTAATCATATAAAAATATTGGAAGAAATAATCAAAAAAGTAAAAGTATGGGAAAGTAATTTGAGGAAAGAAATTAGTTAGTTTTTAGTTGGATTTTTTAGTAAGTAAGAAACAATTAAATTTTAATTTATAGAAAAAAAGGTGAATATTTTTATTTTTGGAGTTATAAGTAATATTTTTTTAGTAATTTTTGACAAAAAAAAATATATTTACAATAATACTGTAATCTAAATTTAATAGTTTAGTTTAAAAATATTTAATTAATTCCCCTATGCAGATTGTGTAATTCATTGACATTGGTTCTTACGAATGATTGTTTCTAATTTCATTCCTAAGATATTTTGATATTATTTGCAAAATTAAAAATGTTGGCGTTGGAAAAATAAAAATTGGTTCAGTTGATCAAAGATTTGTAAAGTAGACAACCGAAGCCGATTCTTGGAGATTTTGCTATATTTTGGTCACCTGACTACAGCCCCACGGTGGACTAATTTTGATTCTTCCAACGCCAGAATTTGTTTATTTAGCATTTTCTAACACTTATCTTAGGATTGAACCGATACAATCATTCAAAGATAGGGCTGCCATAAAAACTAATGTTATTAAATTACAAAACTGTTTGTTGGAATAATATTTGTGACAAAAATTGAGGATATATTATTAACTGATTCAATTTTTGGCGTGAGTGAGTGCAGGTGCAAAATATGCGGTGGTGATTTGCGGCTGATTGAATTATTAGTCTTTTGTGAGGAGCGCGGGGCGTGATCAATAGCGCCTGTTGCGCCGCCAAGAAGTGAGTGTAGGTGGGTGAGGGCGTCGAGAAGAAGTACATTGGATTGCACGCCGGCAACTCCCTGCTGCGGTTCGCAGTTATAACGAGTCGGGCCCCAAACCCTGTGATAAATTCGAATCTTCGCCGCCCGCCACGTGCTCTTTTTGCACCTGTTTGTTTCCGTCCGGGTTTATTTCCGAAGCGAATGAATTGCGTCCTCATGCCGAAAGACAAGGGGTCGCTTTTTATCAAAGGGGTGCGGATAGGCTGAGGGTCGAGGCTTTCGGAAAGCAGCTCTGGATTATCGGGATAAGTTGGCGCCACATCCTGCTCTCCATCAAATCGTTATCCCGCGCCTAACTTTCAGTCTGTTCCGATTGAAAATAAGGCAGTCAAGATATCTTTAATATTTTTCAAAGCGAGACTCAAATATATATTATTAAAAAAAATTCTACCCCAAATTCGTTTCTGATATCTTGATAAAATTTATTTATTGCTATTGCGCTTGAATTAAGTAAGTCTGCAATGTCTGCATTCTGCATCTTCCTTTTGTTTTTTGACTTTTTATGGAATTCAAAATCAATTAATTAAAACAAAAAATTAGAATAAGTGAAAATAACAGTAAAAAAAACTGTGCCGTCGATCATTTATCAAGAAGTTAAATTATCTGATGAATTTTTGTAATTAAATAGCGAAACTGTTCACAGTATCAGGTTTAAAAAAATTTCTAGGTTAACATTAAAGGTTTCTATGCAATTTTAGTTTTGGCATTTCAAGTTGGCTTAAATAAAGACATTAAATAACTACATATTTTGAAATGTCAATTTCCTAGGATTAAAATTTAAAAAATGTTCACTATTGCTTAATTTATTTTTGTTGTCAGCAATAATAAAACAATTCCAATTTCCTTAAATATCGTTCGATGAATCATATAATGATTGAAAAAATATAAAATGAATAAAATCCCATGCTTTCACTTTGTATGTAAAGTAAAATTAGTAAAATCATTAAGCACTTTACAGCAATAATTATAAATGATATGAAAATAAATTCGACTTTTCCTTGATGGATCAACCCTCGATCGTGAACTTCTACTATTAATTAAAATTAAAATTTCCATTAATATTATGTAACTTAAATTTTTAATAGTTTAATATTTGGTTATATTATAATAATAAAATTATTTTAATTGAACAAATTTAATGTTTATAAAACCATAATGACTCCACTTTCATTATCAAATAATTTCGGCTATTTTAATATACCTGCCATGGGGAAATATCTATTATTTAATCATTTTGCGTCCCAATAATCAATTTTATGAATTTTTTTGCAGGTACAAAGTTCCTGTGCAGTGAAGTCATCGCGCCCGTGAAGAGCGAGGTGGACGACATTTGCCTGTACATTCTCAACTTTGAGGATCTCACTGCAGTCACGCCGCCCATTGACGACAGAGCCGGCGGCAGCGCTTCTGCACAACCCCTGCCCATCGGTGGTACTGGGCCTCCTCACCAACCTGTGAATCGCCTCGGACGGCGTAAGCAATCAAATTATCCCTCCGCACAAAAAGATAAAGAAAAGAAAGTTTTGAACTAATTAAAAGTTGTTCCTCTCGCTCGCCCGCTTAGACAAATTTTTTCAACTCTTTTATCACAGGCAACTTTTTCTTCCTTGCCAAGTACACAGAGATAGGGTGCATTTTAATTCCGAGCAGACGAGGTTGGCTAAACTAATTAGGGATGATTGTTTCAGTGGGCCGTGCGAGGCAGTCATTCAGACAGTCATTTAAGATGGGACCATTAAGAAGAGGGCGTGCCTTTTTGGAGAACGCGATAGCACCACCGCAGGCCACGCCGATTCGCGAGGAAATCTCTTTGGACGAGAGGTGAGAAATTATTTTCTTTTTTTTCCCCTCAAAATCGTTTGTTAAAAATTCATTATTGGTTGGTAAAATTTTGCTAACGGCTTAATTTTTTTGCTTTTTTTCCAGAAAAATACAAATAAATAATAATATTCTTGATAATTTACGTTCCAAAATTAAATAATAATTTATAGTGTTAAAATTCAATCTGAAAAATTAAAATAATGAGGGGACTGGTCTGTTAATATATAAATAAGAATTAAAATTAATAATTAAAAATTTATTTCTCTTATAATTGCAAAATGTTATTGATAATAATAAGCAAAATAGAGAAGATTATTACAAATTATTCATTTTTAATCTAAAAAACAAAATAAATAACAATTTTTAACATTTTGAATGAGAGCAAAAAAGTTAAAACTGTTTAAAATGGAACTAATTTACAATAAATTTTATAATTTGTCATTATATTATTGATAGTTTAAAATTTTACCCATCATATGATATGATTTTTTGGACAAATTGATTTCTGACATGAAATTTACTGAATACTGACTATAAATACAAATTTTCATCAATATAACTAAAATCACCGCCCCTCTCACTTGCAATAATTCTGGTTGTTGAATTTGCGTTTGTTAATAAAATTATTGGCTGAGGGTGCAGCTCATGAAAATTGCGATTAATCAATGAAAAACGCGCTGACGAACAAGTTGAGCGCGACTGGGGGCTTATGCTGCATCGGATTTAATTAATTGATTAATTGCTATCTGCGCGTCACAAGGCAAACGGGCCGCGCGAATAAATCAGAGCAAACGCGATTAACGGCGCGGCTAATTCATGCAAACGAAATTTGATTCGAGTTTTCCTCTCCTTGCCGTTGGCGGCGCCGCTTTTTCAGCGGCAGAAAATTGTGATTAATTACTGGGCGAAAATCGATCGCTGCCCAACAAAGGGACCGTCTGTGTAACGCGTGCAATGCTAATACCCATTGTGAAAAAAAAAACCGACGTCGAGGGCGGGTTTCAGCCCGTCTGATTGAATTACAATGCAAGAATATACACCTCTGCACCGACGCGATTAATGGACAGATTGAATGTCACTTTCATGTGGGCATATTTGAAATAGTTGTAAAAATTTATACACATCGTGAGGCCCGTGAGGAAAAAAGTTCCAATAAGTTTTTATAAATCACAATACGAATACAATTTCATATTAAAAATGCACTGAGCCTTTAATTACAAATTCAAAAGTATTTAATTTTATTTTTTTAGGGAGGAGGGTGGAAAATTCTACTAAACCCTGTGAGAAGTTTCATATCCATTTACAAATGTATATAATTAATTAATAATTACATATCCAAAAAGTATGTCCCAGAAACATCGTACATCGGAGAGAAACCCCATTTTCTTCACTTCTATGATCATCACCTCCGGTGTTAATTTTTTTATTTTTTATTTATTGTTATATCTGTAAGTTTTTAATGACTTTGAGCAAAATTCCCACGCTGAAAAATTTTCTGCCGCTTCTAATTAAATTTGAACTCCGGATTAAAGAATTATCCAGTAATTACGTCGCGCTCCATTGGTGGTGCAAAAGATGCACGTCGCGTCACGTCCGGCTGCAAAAGCAAAGCAAAGTGTGCACTCGTCTCGATATTGATCATGCACGCAAATGCGATAATAGTGGGAGGCGCACGCGAGCAGCAGTTTTAGTTTTAGTGACGCAATAAAATAAAGCATGCAGCAAATGAATGAAGAGCAAACCCGCCCGCCGGATTTCGCCTCAAAGTGGAGAAGCTGCTTTTGGCACGGGCCCAAAATAATTTTATATGACGCTTGTTTCTTCTTTATTGCCTTTTGCGAAACGATGAGCGACGAAGGGAATTATAAAAAGAAGGAAACACCAACTCCAGACTGGTCGATGCATAAAAAAATTTGTCCAGAATTTTTTTTCACTTTTATTGCCTGCCGAGTGTTTATTTTGGAGAATGCTTTTGTGCTTGGAAACCACATATCTATAAACTGGGTCAACTCGGGACTTATCGATTCGGTGTATTTTATCTCCGTGTGTCCAAATTAAACTTGGAAAAACCTTATTTCACCTCTCGTCCGTAAAAATGCGATTTACGATAATTAATCCGCGCCCACATGGAGGACGGAAATGGAATTCTTTTTACGAGACTGCAGCTCTCAATCAGCGAACATTTTCACGCGCGAGCGGATCCGAAAGGGCTCGTCGTAAATTAGCCAAAGTGCTGACTGGACGCCTCTCTGCTGCGTTCCGGTCGGAAGGAAAAAGTGGCCGGCGCCCCTTTTGTGCAGTGTCACCCTTTGATCATCCATTGAACGGGGATTAAGGATCAAACGCCGCTGTGCTGATGTTTCTATTTCTCTCGACCGCATGCCTGTGCACCGGATGGAAGTGCTGTCGATGCCCAGATTAGATTACGTAATGCGCAAGGACGCAGATTTTGACCCTTATTTGGCCCCTCCCCCAAAAGATCAGGTGTCAAATATAGTTTTTTTTCTTTTCACGATTATTGTAAAAATTTTGATTTGTTTGCAATTATTCTCATTAGTGGAGAAAGCAATTTTAAGTAAAAATAACTTTCAAAAGAATTTCACAAACGAGGCTTGATTCAAAATTTTGGTGTTTGAATTTAATTTTCACTTTTCCTCGATGGTTTCTTTCTTAATTTTTTTTTATTTTAAATCTCAAAATTTTAACTGAACAAGATGGAAAAAGGAATTTAATAAAAAAAAATTAAAAAAAACCGCTGAATTCAGTGGATATTTAAAAATAAAGAGAAGAAATATAAAAGACACTTTTATGTACAGCAATAGAATTTTGCTGAAACGGTTCTAATCGAGCTAGCCCTGCTTGAGTTCTGGATAATGTTGATAATTTTATGGTGGATTGAATTTAAATTCGGCTTTTCCTCGATGGGTTTTTGTGAGTTTTTATTGTATAAGAAAAACAATATCCTGCTCTCGACCACCGCCGAGAAAGCTCATGAATTATGGCTGCAGCCCGCAGCCGAAACATGTAGAGCAGGATATTGTTTTTCTTAAACAATAAAAACTCACAAAAACCCATCGAGGAAAAGCCGAATTTAAATTAAATCCACCATGAATCAACCCTCGATCGTGAACTTCTACTACAAAATTGATAATTTTAAGTATTTCAATTTTAAAATTTTGATTTTTGCCCCTCTAAGTTTTAATAAACCGGTTAAAAATGAAAAAAAAACCATTCAATGCATAAATTAAGAATGATTCATAATTTAAACAAATTTAATATTGAAAAAAATATCAGCTTCTAATCTTTTCAAATGCTATTCTTTGATTAAATTCAAAGCGCTGAGACATAAAAAGCAGGTTTTCTTTTTTTTGCGCATTTGATCAAACTTTCGGCCGTCCTTTTCCGTGTAAAACGTTTGCGTTAAAAAAAAAGAACGCAAGTTACTTTTGGGGGCGAATTGAGCAAGTGAGAGGGAAGCGCAAGGTGAGAGAGTTTATTAAATGTCAGTTGTTGTTTTGACAGGAGCGAAGTGCTGGAAGTGAGTTTCCCCGAGAAGCCCCCGCTGTCTGCGCTGCACCACCGCGCCTCGTTTCCACCGCGCACTCCGGCGACGGCGCTACCTGCCCTGACGGCACCACCCACAGGGGTAAATCGAGTTCCCAACCCCGCCACTTGCACCCCGTCGCCACACGGCAGCACCAACGACAATCGGTCGTGCCGCTGTACCGACAGATTGCGCACAAATGCATCTCTTTTCAGTATTTGCGTTGCTCAAAACACAAGTTAATAATTTTAAAAATAATTAATATTCTTTTATTAAATCATTATTTCTGTTATTTGTTGTACAATATTATTTTTTTTTTCATACTCACGTATAAATTAATGATACTTATTTTTTAAATTTAATATTTTATTAAAATAAAATAATTATGTTTTTTTTCTTTTTAGTTTTCAATAATCAGTTACTTATATATTTATAATAATATGTTTAAAAATTTTTTGTACTTATACTGTGACTAGAACATGAAGTATATATTTACAAATAATAATATTTACCAGGGTCAAGCAATTTGTTTTCTAAGTTGTTGAATTTTTGGATTTCTTGTAGTATTTTTGAAATTTCTCTTTCAAGTCTAAGTCTAAAGAAAATTGGACTTGTCGAAATCTCAAAAGATTGCCTCTGGCTACTTATTTGTGCAAAGGGTTCTGACCCTCCAACCTGCTTCCCTTTCATCTAATAATACTTGCTTTCTGCTGTCCTCCTTTTTTATGTCTGTCTCTCCAAGTCAATATCTTGCTTGAGGGGGTGCCGAGAATGTGTGTTGCTCGTATCCAATTATAGGTCTCGGGGCGATCTCATTCAATATTAAATCTGTTCGGATAAAAAGATACAAATCCTCAGCCGCGTCTACTTCTCAATATCTTTTTCAAAGGATTCTCCAATAAAAAAAAGTAATAAATCTAGCAGATTTTTTATCTTGACAAGAGATGTAATGATCAAGGTTTAAATTTAAATTTTTCCTTGAATATTTTGGTTTTTTTTTTAATTTCTTTTGCTGAAATATTTCCCTCTTTTGTATAATTTATTATCTTAAACAATTATTTTACTAGATTAAAAACATTTTTTATCCATTTTTTATTTCTCTTTTGTAAGAAGCAGGATTTTTGTTGCAATGAAATAAACTTTAAGGTTTAAAAACGCTCCGAAAATTGTATTAAATGGACTTAAACCATTTTTTGCCTCTCCTTTTAATAATTCTTAGATTTCTAACTGTATTTTGCTTCAATTGTAGGGGCCGAAAATTAACCTTGAATGTGTGGATTTCAGGGTCTGAATCGGACAAAGGAGGGAGACAGCAGTCCCGAGTCGTCGCCAACACAAAAGCCGCCCCCGCAAGGCGGCGACATCATCCCTTACAACCACCCGCCGCTGCGGCCGGCGTCCTCGCTGGACGCCATTTCCAAACAGAAACTGGCAGAGGCGGCCGCCGCGGCCAGCCAGAACGTGCCTAGCAGGAGTGCCACCATGAGTGCGCGTGAGTTTTCCTTTCACTTTCCTGCACCGTCGACACTTAATTAATTTCATTCTTAATTAATTTCGATTCTTGATTAACCTTTTGACATTATATCGGTCGGTGGCCACACAAACACACTAACTTTTTGCTGATGGAAATTTCCCACACTCTTTCCTGTTGAGACTTCCTTTTTTTTTTTAATTTCTATAATACTTGGTGTTTTTTTCCAAATGCAAAATACTCGATGAGGTTGATGTCAGCACTGATATTATTTGACTTATAGTTCTAACAATTAGCTAGGGTTGAAAAAAATAATAATTTTACACATTATATATAATGACTGAATGAATGTATACTAATTATATTAAAACCTGTTTCTTTCTCTCCGCCTGACGTTTTGCTCTGTGTTTTTGGTTTTGGTTTTTTTACTCCCAATTTTTTGAGAGAGAAAATAATATATAATTTTTATCAAATCATCCCTTGAAATTTGCGCTGGATTTGAGAGTGGGTTATTCAAGCATTTGCATATATATTTTGTTTGAAACTTAAAAAAAAAAATATCCAAGAAATGCCTGCGAATTTTGATTGATGACCATTTTATCAATCTAACTCTTAATTAACAATTAGTATAAAAAACTCACTAGTTTTTCAACCCTAGCACTCTGAATATTTCAATTATCAATGTATTTTCCCACAAGTTTTTCTGGAGGTTGTTTTTTGTCATTGGAATATATTTTATGGACTTCACACGTTTTTTTTTTTACATTGCCAATTAATAATGTTACCAATTATTGGTGTTTTTTGCTTATGATCATGGTTGGTGTTGTGTGCATTCACTTGGTGTTTTTGATGCATTTACTTTTCCAAGAGAACTATACTTGATGAACAATTCAACTTATCATTAATTTTGCAACAACGCAGATAGCACACCCATTCGTCTATTTTTTTTTATTCACGATTATTTCCATAGCTCAAAATATTATACCAGAGTAGGATTGACTAAAAATTATAAAACGCCACTCTGCATATTTCTTTTTTCAATCAATATTTTCGACATTCATTTTATTCATTACTTATTTCATACATTCCATATTTTATTACCATGTTCAAACTCATCTGTGCAAAAGAAAAAAAAAATGAAATGGTCATGAATCACGATTTTTATTGCTCTCGCCGAAATTGGCAGCGCCCCTGCCAAAAATGGCGCGCTGGCGGTGCCAAAGAGCCGACTCGTTTCGATCGAGAGCATTTTTTCCTAATTTGGCATGATGCTCGTTTGCAATGTAATTTTTTCAATGTGTTTAGTAACATGCAGCTACCCTGAGCCCACCCTCGAAGACACAAGGATTCGGCCACACACGCTAGATAATTTTTCAGAAGGTAATCTTCAAATGTCTGATCACTTGAGAAATTAAGCTCATCTCCCCAAGATTGATTTGGAATTCGATCTCTCATGTTGTTATTACATTAACTCTCCATACTTCAACATCGATGATTTTTTACTTAATTGATACTTTGATTGCCGCTATAGAAAAATCGTAGAGCGACCCCTGTCACTGGGTTTTGCTTCAAGTGTGACGTGTTTAAGATTTATATATTAACTAATCAGTACCTCGAGAACCTTCGAGCCAAGTTTTGTACTTTTCCACTAACCTCTGTTTTTCTTTTGGATGATTCTCATTATTCGTGTATTTTAACAGTTGTTGGTGTTTTTTGCATGGAAACATGTTGTGAGTGTTGCCTGCTTTAGATGTGGGTCTCGAGTTTACTCTCAGTGTTAGCTGTAGTAATTTTACGTGTTTGACAAAACATCTATCTTTCTATAATTAGAGATTTGATCTTTTTGGTAAATTTTCATTTCGACATACAAAACACGTTCCTTTGAGACACTTTTCTAGATTTTTGATTTTCATCATTGAAAATTTTAAGTGTTTTCAGATGTGAAAAAAAGAGTAAGATATATACGAGTACAATTTTATCTCAAAAATTAGATCTTAAAGGCCCTCTCCAGTAATGTATTTTTTATTCTTGTATTTGAAAGAACATGAAATTGCTGGCATCGAAATCGTGGTTAAAAATTTGCACTCAAAATACCTTCTAAATCTCTAAATTTGACCAAAATAAAAACAAATAGAAATAGGAATTAACCCCTCAAGTTATTTTAGTTTTCACAATTTCAACGTCAATCATTAAATTTTGTCTTCAATTGAATTCAGGAATAAAAATAAATAATACTGGAGACCCTTTAATTTAAGTTACGCAGCTTTTAAATTGTAACCCCTTAATTAAAATATGCCGATAAATTTCAACTTAAAATTTGATAATTCCAACAACAAATTTTAAATTAGCGGCCAGAAAGATCACAATAAATAATTGTCGATAATTATTAAAATTAATTTTTTAAATGAAGATTAAATTAATGTTAACCCTCATAAAAGTCATGAATTTTCGTGCTGTGCATTTCAATTTTCGCTTAGAGTAGACTTGCTAGAGGCAGCCATGATTTTACTGGAAGACAAACTCCTGCAGACAGGACGTTTCTCTTTTTTTTTCATTTTCAAATATAAAACTTCCTGTCATATATTGTCATTTTTTTTTTCAATTCTCATCTTCAGAGACGAGTGTGTGACCTAAAAAGCCTCAATCCGTGACAAACTAATGTGCCACACGGCCGACATGTCATTTCAGCTGCGGCGCGAAACCACGTTTCCAAATCCTTCCCGAACGCTTCATCAGAGTCGGACCTGGCGAGGTACCACGCGGCCCTTTGGGCCGACCAGAGACGCGACCGGAAATCCCCTTCGCTTAGCAACGTAGCTTCAGATAGCCTAAGACATAAGGTACAGACACAATTTTCTTTCTATCCTCTCTTTTACAACGAGAATGTCGAATTTTTCATTCCTTGAAAAATTTTATATTTATTCACCATAAAACTCACGAGCCGTGATTTTCGTGTCTCCAAGCACAATTTATCAACTTGTGGCGCCATTTTTGTGACAAAAACAACAACATGTTTTGACGATTTTGCAAAAAAAGAGCACCAGCTTGCTGCCAAAACAACTCCAAGTGCCGCTTTTTGTGCCAAAAAGAAGCGAACGTTTTTGTCTCCGGAGATAAGATGCATATATAAAATCTCGGTGCAAAATCTGCCAAGCTAAAAATAAAAAAAAAAATATAATTGTTGTCACCGTGAGAGACGCGTTGCTGCTGACTACTTTGTGCAAAACGTTCGTTTGTGCCTGCATGTAAATTTAGCGACAATTATCTATCTGCTTCCAGTTTTCTATTCAAGACAATGGATCGGCAAAATTTTTTCAAGGTGCTCTCCACACTCCTAACATGGGTGAAAAAGTTGCTCAGGTGAGTACCTCTTACCCATTCTCACTATACGCCTCATTTGTGTGTTGTGCAAAAGTAGAAAAGCAGTAATTATATTGATTGCCCTCTCACAAAAAACACTTTCAACTTTCCGACATTTCCGCATGTTCTTCAAAGATACTGTGCTAAATTAACAAATTCTCGTGGGATACGTAAAAGGTCGGAATTTAAAAATAAATGACAATAATTACTCCGCCGGTGAAATATCAGAAATTTATTCGTCAGAAAACTGCCTCTTGAATTGATCCAGTACTTAATCAGAAACGCGAAGATCAGAAAAAGTATTTTTAATTCATTTAATCAATTAATTAAATTTTATATTATTATAAAATTGAATTAAAATAGTCTGCAATTAATTTTTTTTCATCATCCTCTCATAAACTCTTGGTAACTTCATTAACGCAATTAGGTAGATTTTAATCGCGACCATCAACGAAAAAGCCATTTCTTCTTTTACGTTTATGATCTTCAGCCTATTAACCACATTTAATGCTAAATTTCTTAATTAATAAATAATAAGGAGATGAATATTATTATTTCAAAGTTCCATAAAAGCGATAAAATTTGCAAATCGGCCTGTAGGGAAAAGTTTCAGTCCAACGACAACTTCGAACGTGAAAAGTTGCGGTGCAGTGCGACGTGGGACGCACAGGGAATTGACAATTGCAGATTTCTTCCTCCGAGTAAAAATAATGTGCCCCTCTTCCGCACTGCTGGGTCACCCGAGTGCATTCAGCGTCGTCTGCGGATGACAATTTCAAACACTACTACTTACATTGCGCCTGTCGACAAAATGTTTTTATATATTTCTCAACTTCTTTTTTTCGTCCGACTGCCACTGTCAGCAGACTCAGGGCACGAAAATAAATTTGCATTTAGCGCACGTCGTCGGGTGGTGCAATTTAATTCGCGAGAGAGAGTAAAAAGAAAGGGAGTAATTAAGCACGTACTTGGCATTTCTATTCAATATAAATAACAGCCAGGCTGGCGCGCCACTTGCAAAAATAAAATTCAATGCCTATGGCCGGAAAGAATTCGTAATGCTCACTATGTCGATTGCTGCGGTGCATAGTAATGAGATGCTCATGCTTTTTTTATTGAAAGCAATTAAGGGATAAATTGGAAATTAGAGCAAATTAGAAAATAATAAAAAGAACAATTTCTAGAAAATTATAAACCTTCAAATTTACAAACAAAGAATAATTAAATAGCAGAACTTAATTAATTATTTTCACGAGGACTGGGAAACGGTTGATTTTTGCGACACTATAAATTAAAACCGTCAAAATTTAGCTATGAAAATTTGGCATTGATGATATAATAAAAAATTTCAATGATCCCATCCTCCTTAAATTGATAAATTTAATTAATTAAAGGTTGATTACATGTTGATTGCAAGGATTAAAAATAAATTCAAATTCAAATGTTTAAATGAAAATGCAAATTTTTACATATGTTCATTTACATGAGATTATTTTCTTTATACATATCATGTTAAAATTAAAGTGTGATTTGGATTAAAATATATATTTGAAATATAATCTTTGAAAAAAGGATGCAAATCAAATAAAAAATGATTATGAAACATTAATTTTTATACAATTTCACTAACATTACTGATAAAATATGATAACTTGACGATTTTTTAAAGTAAAAAATTGAAAAATAAAAAATTTTGTCGTGTCTTCTACACTTTTTTTATAAAGGACTCAGCATAAAGTTATAGAAAAAATCAGATGATCACTTTAAAACGTTATTTCAAAGAACATAAAAATGCTTAAAAATTGTCCAATACGTCCGAGTAAAATAAATTTTTTGCGTATGAAGTGTCACTTGGATTATTAATTTTTTTTGTAAAAGAGTTCAAAACGAGTCACGAAAATAATGCCCCGTACGTCGTCGGGTCCACCTGGTTGTGAGTCATTCAGCATTTAGCGAGAGAGCCACAAAGGACGGTCCATTGTGTGCGGCGGCGACGGCCACAATCAAAAGAAGCAGGCCTGATTTCAGCTTGCTAATTAGCTAATGCGCGCTAACAAGCTTTCTTTCTAGCCCCGGCGTTTAAATGCGAGCCGCGAGACCGAAACAATGGCGCGTGATTAAATCCAGGCCAGAATTTTTCCCTAATGAATTCGTGCTGACATCAAAGCATGAAAAAAAAGAAGCGGCGCAGACTTCTTATTTATCTATTTGTCGTTGGCATTGCAGCGAAATGTGCCACCGCGTTGGAACAGACCCAGTGGCAGCATCGATTTTTGCTCTCCACACATGCAGTCTGCGGCTTGAGTTTTCCGACCGTAATAGATGAAGCAGAGCTAATGAGCGGTAGATAAATAACACATGATAATGACACATAAAATTACAATTTTCATATATACATTCGAGATCGTTCTGTTGGAAAATTGGTGCGCAGGGAAAATAATCGTGTTTGGGCCAATGTCATTAGGGTGATTATGGGAATAGGGGGCCGCAGGTCATTAACGGACTTAATTAAAGATTGTTGCCATAAACACGGAATTTTAGCAGGGGGACCTAAAAGGAAAATTTCATATTATCATCAGAAGTTAAAATCGTTTTTAATTAAAATGTAATTTTTTATTATTTATTCGTAATTATAATATGTATAATTTAATAATGATAAATCGAATTGAATTTTGATTTTGATTTTCGTTGGCAGTTAATTCCTCTTGTATGATAGATCAATGAATGCTATTTTTCTTAATCAAAAATGATTTGTTAATTATAATCAATACCTCTTCACAATTTCAATATTTCTTTCATTTGAAATATTTTGAAAATTTTTTAATTTTTTAAAATAATTTTAATTAATTGCATCAACAATATTGCAATTTTATTATCAATATATATGACTGAATATCAATTTGATATCTATAATTTACTGTTTTAAAATGGGACTAATTATTTGTGACTTAATCATTAAACTCAAATTTGCTGAATAGAAAAATTATTTTCATATTAGAGCTGCCGTGTATATCAAATTAACTCTAATTTCGTGCGCCTGCCGAAATAATTAATCTGATTCATAAGAAGGCCTGATGCCAAATTTCATCAGTGCTGTTGATTAGCGCATTGTTCGCCAAGGAATTCGACTCGTGGCCTTTCGTAAGATATCAGTTTCACGCACAGTAATAAATAAATATGGAGGGCACGAGAGGGTAAAAAAAAGTTGAAGCGGCCGAATTCCTCATCGCTTGGCAAACAAACATTCGGTGGCGCCGCCGCTACCGTGGCGTGTCGATCCGCGGCTGGCGAGTCGCGTGAGTGGCGCTCGCTGGGCTCGGCCCACTGGTTGAATGGAACCGCTGTAGGTGGCTTTAGCGTCGATTCGACGCAGACGGGTGAGACTCGAAGGGATGGCACACAGATTTTGGAGCTCCGGCGCGCTCTGCAGCAGTCGGTGCTAATTTGCGGAGTGTGTTTGTGCGAACGGAACTGAATCAGCTGCTCGACGGCGCCATGGTGCGGTGAGAGCGGCGGCGCCGCGATCCTTATGCTTCACCTCGTTAAATGTCACGCTCGAATCACGTAGCAGCCACGGCGCCGCATGCGAATCCCGATTGCGCGCGAGCAGGCGGCGCCGTCATGCTGTCGCCGACGGAGGAGCCCCGCGGCGCCGCGCTCACCATGACGCCGGTCGGCGCCTCCGAACAACTCCTGATGGACAGCAAGGACATCAGGGTGTTGAACGACATCATCGACGACCTGAACCGCTTCGACCCTGACGGCGACACCCTCGCCGGATCCAGGCGACCCTCCCAAATCACCAAATTACCCGAAGAGCAGGTACAGAAATAATTTCTTTACCAAGAAAAATATGATATGTATAATTTTTTTTATTTAGCACAAAGGTTTGCGTCACTTTTAATGGTGCTTGTCGGTGATCAAAGCGCCACTTAAAACGTTTAGTCCGTTGCGAAATAGACAAAGACAATTCGCCACACCCACCGCGCACGACGATACATCAAACGCACGCTGGATTCGCTCTCATAATAACCGCCCAATAATTAATGACACTGCCCGTGTTCACTCATCTCCGCTGAGAGTTGACGTGCCCGTTTTCAGTTGCCAAACGCACCACCGCCAGGGGAAATTGAAATAAATCAGCTCCGCCTGAATATTAACATCCCCAAAATGGTCAGAGATTTTTTTATAAAAAAATTCACTTCCTTTAAAAGTGTCGTTTCTCGCGACAACAGGTTGGTTGGGGACTCGCTGGTATAATAATTTTCATTTTTAATGTCTCAATTTGGAACTTTTCGAGCCGACTGGAGTCGTGCACGTGACTGGCTCTGTTTACTGCTGCCATCTTTGCAATGATGAAATTGCAGAGAGATGATGATGTTTTGCGTACTCACTCCCGGTGCTGCCCGCGCCTCACTCGTGCGAGCCTCTCCCATTATTATTGATTGCGCGCCAAGCCCCACGCTGTACGTTTCCCCATTCCGGGACTTTTGTTTCGTCCCCGACTAGTGCGAATTGGCTCGCGCTGGCGAAAATCGCGCCGCATTTATTTAGGAATTGAGGCCGACTGGTCAATTCGCATTCAAAATGTTTGGTGTGGCGCCGACGGTGTTGGGTCATCTCGCCTTATTCTAAGTTATCTCGTCCCTGGGGCGAAATTATTTCCAGCAGCCAGCGTGCCAGTAACCTTATCGATCTCCCCGTGGATGATATGCCGTGCTCGCAAAGCCGAGAATAATCAATCCCAACCTGGGCCGCTTCCAGGAAAAAAGGCAAACTTTTATTTATACACAAAAACAATAAAGTTGGCGAAACATGCGCCGGATCAATAAAATACGTAAACAGTTCGGCGAACGGAACCAATTATAAGGAAGATGGTTCATTTATTTTTCATGTCAAATTCGGCGGAAAACGAACGGGCGTCATCTTTCTGTTGACGTCTCGCTCCTCCAGACTTATGCAACGTGCTCGTCGCCAGTGCCCGACGTTGCTGCAGAACT